CCCTTCTCTCCCTCCTTCTCCCCTTCCTCCTTCTCCACCAGCTTCTCCCCCTCCTCCTTCTTAGATTTTAAGCGCGATTGAATTCCAGCCAATCAGAACAGTGGTTTTTAATCGTGCTTAAAATCTATTTTAATCGCGATTAAAAACCACTGTTCTGATTGGCTGGAATTCAATCGCGCTTAAAATACATTTTAAGAGCGATTAAAATAGGTAGGTTTTGGCGGTAATGGCTTTCCATAGTTTATACTATGTTAACTCGGGTTTCCCAGCAGCGGCCAAGCAATGGTGGAAAAAAAATTGATCTAAAAAGCTGCTTGTCCGGCAGACAAGCTACCGGACAGATCTACTTGTCCTCCGAGGAAATGGACAAGTACGGACAAACGGATAGCCCTTATTTCGAACACTGGGATCGTATCAGAAACCTTCTCGAAGAAATGTTCGTTGGGATCGTTATGAAAGTTGCCATGAGATGGCGCATAAGTTTGAGTGTCTTAAGATTAAAGATGGAAGATCCCATCGTACGTAGTATAGCAACAACTATTTGCAAGACAGAATAGGTAAGCACTCATCCATTTACCTATGCAAGCCTACAGGCTGAAATAGAGAGGTGCCACCTGTACCTAATTAACGCAGGCAAAAACTACACCATACTATCACCACCACATGAACTGGCAGTGGCCACTGGCAGTGGCATAAGTAACACACTGACAGTACAGAATGCCATAGAAATTATACGATTTAAGGAGCATAAACCTTCTTCAACCAAATTTAGCTTTTGAAATTTCACTGTGACATTGTAGCCTCATACATCCAGGCATGTATAGATTCTACTAACAAACCCGGCAGTCAAATTCTGTCTAACAGTAAACAAATCCATGTTTAACCCTCCTCTTGAGGGTCAAAAAGTTATACGACACTTACTCTTCGCATGTCAGCAGAAAGTACATTTCATGGACCTTTCAATAAAGCCATAAAAATGCTAGGTCACCGCTGAAACAAAAAAGTTTTTCAATCGCTCCGTCAGACCATGTCCTCAGAAAATGTCTAAAATCTGCCCTGTGCCTTGACCTTTGACCTGTGACCTCCAATTTCGGCACAGTGATGACTTTTCCTACCATGATGCTATACACCAACTATCACAAGCCTAGGTCGAGCCGTTTAGATTTGTGCCGCAATTCTGCATTTCCTCCCTATACCTTAAGTTAAGGAGGGAATGTTCCCCCTTCTTTTACACCTCTTGACCTTTGACCTTTGACCCCCCAGCTTCGACATCCCAACTCGTTTTCGGATTACCCCCCCGCGTCCCGAATATCGTGACCGTACGTCGAGCCGTTTAGATTTGTGCCCAACTGTTGACGGACGCACGCACGCACGGACGCTCATGCGATTCTACAAGCTGCATCTGACTCTGTCAGATGAGCTAAAAAAGTATAAAGTGGCAGCACTCTCTATGATACTTTCATTTACTAAATTACTATACTCTGTGGTTGATTACTTGCCTAACCACATGCTTTACGAGCATGCCATTGCCAAAAGTCTCTGAGCAATGTGTTAAGATTTCAACCTCATGATTGGTATTGTCCAAAACAATACTGAGATTTTGGCTGTACATGGATCACGTGGTATTGAAAACTGCATGTGTCTGCTTTGCTTTCTGTACCAGACTTTGCCAAGCAAAGCACTCGCATGCTAATTAGTTATGAGATTATTAGCCTTACCAACAAATTGCCTACAGCAACTATTTTCACAATGGGCTATAAACGAAAATCTTGAATAATATTCTACATACACGCATGCATATATGTAAACTGCAATATGCACACAATAGCAATAAATGTCTAAATGAGCAGGTAGCATGACCAATGTATCTTAGCACGTGTGCCAGAGATTACTTTAAAGATATGGTAATGCTGCATTTACATTATAGATTTTTGTCAGCAAATCGTACCGATTTCACGTGCATTCCAACTAATCGGCTAAAATTCGATTGTGTTGGAGTCGGAGTCGGAGTCAAGTCGCCGAGTTGTAGAAATAGAACGTGTTCTATTTTGCACGACTCGGACGATTTGCTGACAAAAATTGATAGTGTAAACGCAGCTTAATTAAGATTATCACGTTAATATTACAACGAAACACGGGTTAAATATACTTATGCAGTTAGCAGCACAAAAAGATTATAATTCTTCAGTGTCTCCAACCTTGTATACAATGTCAGACCTACGCCCAGCATTCTGTAAATATAGCAAAAAAAAAGTGAAAATGCGATTGCATCAAAATTGCGATGTTTTAAATTTGCCACATTTGTGACAATATCAAATCACAATAGAGTAGTGGAATTAACCATTAAGTGTGTCCATGATACTGCTAGTCCATACTGTTAGTAATGCAATCTATTACTATAAACATGCAATGCATCTTGTATTAGTGTTTATTTAAAGGAAGCATTTTCAGTCTGCAAACATGATTATACCATGGACATGCAAACAGCTAGGTTGTACGACGACTCCAATCAAGGTTAATTAAGCAAAAATCAATCATTAAAAAATTTAAAGATTTTTGAGGAAAGCAAACAACCAGACGATTATATTGATGAACACGCGGTCAGTAACACATGCACATGCACGCGGGCACAAATTTATGTGTATGTTATTAACATATTATAGTGTTAAGTATATAAAAAAGCTCTTACTTGGTAAAATTCATACAGCTGGGTGGCATAATGGTTTGGAAGCATCATACCCTCTCCTTTACCTAGCTTGCCTTCCCTGGCTATGCCTCTCATTACATTTGTATTGCCTAGAAAAAACAATAGACAATAAAGCCAATAATTAAAATATATAACACTTGTGGTGACACCATGCAATAGAGACATGTTCCATACACAACAAGTGAAAAGCGATTTTCCCATAACTGAAAGTTTCATTTTCCATAACTCGAGACTTTAACCAAATACAATCTTTGTGGCTCACATCGATAAATAAAATGAAAGTGTCAATGACACTATAGCTCACCACAAAAAAGTACACAAATGAGCGAGTGCCAACAAGACATTTTTAATTCAGCAACTATCCACCTACATTATATAAAACAAGAGTATATAAGCTCCAAAATGGTGAGACCTGAGGAAGTCTGTCGGAGAGATGGACGAAAATTTCGTCGGAGTAAGTTATTTTGTACTGATTATGGATCTAACTGAGATTAACGTTATTAGCATGTAAATTATAGAGATCCGATGAAGTTATTTAATCATTAGTCAGTACTGTGACCCACTCTCGAAGTGTGGCCAGTGTGTTGCTTCCGGTCGCCGCTGTGTAGCGCTGACTCGATACGTTATTACTACAGTGTTACTACATCCAGCGTAAGGGGCGGGTCATCACCATGGCGATAAATAACAAGACGTTTTTGTGGAGTAATGACTCCGTCAATGACTGGAAATGCGAGAAAAGATAGTAGAAAGAAAATAAATTTCATTGTCAATGAATGACGGAAACACGCGAGGTTTCCCGAAGTTATAACACTTCGAGAGTCGGTCACAGTACTGACTAATGTCTAGTAGGTGTTCGGCGAAAATACCAGATTTTCACTGCTCATTATCTCAGCGTAGGGGCATCGTAGGGACATGCGGTTTGTTTTATATGAACAAGGTAGGACTGCTGATCAATATTACTGGTTACTGGTACAATGCAACATGGTTTCAGCATTTTACCGTTGTACGCTCTCTTTCTTTATATGCTCTTGATTACACGTATCAAAGATGACTTGCCAGACGTGTTGGCTCCTGGCTGCATATTTATTACATAAATTTTATTCACTGTGATTGTGCACACCGTTTTTAAACAAAAAACCCTGAATCTTTTAAAAAATTATGCAAGAGTGAATTTCCATTTTGTAACACGAGTAGTGGTCATAATTTACAAATTATGCATGTGCCAATTAATGTAACTGGGTTGTCATATGGCAAGGTATTGCTGTACAGCATAACAATTTTACATGGTACAGTGCAAAGTTATTTAATGTATGGAAATCATCGCATTTTGGGTTGGCATCAACAATTTAAGGTGAAAACAAAAGAATGTTTCACATGAATGAGAAAAGCTCGCGACTGTTATGTAGACGTATATCAGCTCACCGACGAATAAGATGATGCAACCGCCCATGCCTATGGCATAAGAGATCCATAGGTTCAACTCGTACACATCATCTCCAGGCATGAAGAAGAGGTTAGCAAGCAACCAAAGACCTCGCCAGAGCGTGATTCCAGCAAATATCTGCGAGATGGACCACACCTCCTCCAAGAGGAGCCTCCACATCGTATGAGCATCGAGATACGTTGACAGGAGCGCTGCTGGCTCCTCCATGGTGTGTATGACGATGACCATGCACACACCCAGGATGGCTGATGTCAGTGCAGAGTACAGTATGTCATTAGGAAAGAAAAAGAAGTCCTCCATTTCCCAGATTCCCCGCCAGACAGAGAACGACAATGATGAAATGATCAGGACGGTGAATACAACATCCGAAAAGAACTTGCCAGCATCCTTTGGCTGCGAAAGATAAAGACAGAAAAATTATAATTAATTATTCTCAACGTGGGTGCTAACAGTAATGAATTTGCAGAATAGAGTTAATGATGTTGCATCATTACAAGACCTATCTGTGTGTGAAAGTGATATGCATTTAAAAACAAGATTAAACATTACACATCAGTCATCAGAGGGATATATTGGTGAAACATTTAAAGGGATACTAGACTCTAGGATTTTACTGCATACAACTGTACTTACTGTATAACAAATCGTCTATACCCCCACGTACTTGTTACCAGATACCTAATTTAATTGTTATAATTAATTATACATCAACGCTATGAAATTTGAACGGCGCCATTGACACCCGCGACTGTGCTGCCACCCTGAAAAAGTTGCGCATTTCCCAATATATTTTGCACGTTACAGACCGAGGGCTAATCCCAAAGGTGCAATTATATTTATACCTAAATACTATTTAACCGAATGATGTTCATTTTAGGACAAATTTTTACATAATATAACTTAAACTATATGTCGTTTATAAGATATTACAATCCTTTTGCTTTTAAATTAATAAATAAGAAACACCCTCGGTCGGTAGCCCTTTGCTGAAAAGTCGTTTTGCGCAACTTTTCAGATCGTGCGCTTTGAGTGGCGCCACCGTCTTTGTAATCAAACTGTAGTCGTTAGTTTTAAAACATAAAAAAAAAAAAATTCTAATGGTGATTGAACAATGAAACTTTTTATGTAGCGAAATTTTAACCTAAATTAACTGAAAATAACCCTAGAACCTAGAGTAAAGAATCCCTTTAAACTAAACACAGTTTATTGAAAGTCAAATAATTAAAGTGTAGCCATTCCCTGCAAGGTCAACTATTTCTCACTGCGCCAATCTAGCCATATATGGCCTTTAAACTAATGGAGAAATTTTCTTCAACTATGACTATTAATATATCACCACCTGGTGAGTAATTCCATTTCTCATATAACCTAAATATTAAAAATGATACTGCAGTTTTTACTATGATCAAATTTGCTGCTTCCTAAATTGTATATATAGTGGACAGGGACACAACACATTTACTTAACAAATATAGGTCTAATGAACTGTGAAAGGCTGAATCCCACACTGATTACTCATAATATAAAATAAATCATGGGCAGTGATATAACTGAATGCAATATCATATCAGTTATTGGAATGAAAACCTGGACTTAATTATAATTCAAAAATTAGGGTAACCGTTTTGGAGGTTTGGCGCATAGGCCTTTGGTATACGTAACTCAATTGTTTTGGTTTCTGTAAGAGGCTTCACTAAGCAAATCTATTCTCATGTGGGAGTGAAATTGTCAACGGCTGTGAGATTGTTAGATGTATATAAATTGCAAACGGCATTGTTGAGGAAATAACAGAAAATATGCGAACAAACCTTTGCATAAATAAGCAAAGAAATTTACTGTTTCTAATAGAAATTATAGAAATAAAAAAGATTGCATCATACATTGTCATAACTTTCATAATGTAACTACACATACCCGACTGTTGAAAAATGTGCTGGCTAGAAAAAACGTGTCTGCATTGTCAGTGCAGATGCAGAAAGGAGATGCAATCACACTCTTGGTCGCTCCCATTCCCAACAGCACGGCGATGCTGATAAATGTAGACAGGCCAGCACTAAGCAAGGTGTACCCTGTATATTACAAATAGTAGTTCAAATGTAAATTCAACTCTGACACACTTATCATTTTTATTGCACGATTAGTGATCATGCGTGTATAACGCCACTAAACGACAACTAGATTAAGCTTACATTATCACAAAAGTTGAGTGATTGTTACAACAACAACAAAACTTAGACAACAGTACTTGTTTGCTTGGTACGAGAACAGTATTTAAACCAACCATATGTCAACATGCAGTTCCTGCGACATGCAACATGCCAAAATTCCACAAAACAAAGACTCAGATCGAATGTAATGAACAAACAAAGCAAACATGAGGTTGTTGTTTGGAAACGAAAACTGGTCTGAATGCTTATTTAAAAGCTCATCCGAGTCCACTATCTATAATGGTATGAAAAATGGAACATATCCCAATTTACAATGATATAACTACAATATCTGAGCAATAGTTTACGTTTATGCAAGGTTAAAAAATGCCCGGGGGCACCCCCATTGTTAAAGGTACTGGCGACGTGCCGCTGGACAGGGTATATTTTCCAAACATCATTATTTGCGCAGGGTATATTTTCCGAACAGCATTATTGGCACAGGGTTATCTAGATACACACCCATCAAGCTGATATTGGACCAATATTGGCAAAACAATATTGGGCCAATAATAATATCACCAGGCCAATATTGGACCAATATAGGCAGATATTGGTTCAATATATAAGCAGATATTGGTCCAATATTGGCAAAACAATATTGGACCAATATCACCAGGCTGATATTGGACCAATATCTGCCTATATTGACAGGACAGGACATAACCGAAATGTGCAATATTGCAACAGGGTATACTTTTTAGTGCAGTATATTGGGACAGGGTGTATTTTAAGGCGCAAAGCAGTTTGCGACAGGGTCAAGTTTTCAAGGTCTCCACGGCACCCCCCTACCCAGTTCCGAGGCGAGTGCCCCCCTCCTCCCGGGAAAAATGCTTGGCTTATAAGCCAGTTCTTAGTTACAGTTTGCGCATGCGCGAACTTAGCCACAAATTCTTCCGGGTCAGGTCATTTGTGACAAAATATTTCGTATTTCGACCGTACAGTACACATACGCATGCATCTGCATAGCGTGGTTCGTTGTCAATGCCTACCGGCTCCTGTCGCCGCCTCCCCGATCGCTCACCGTACCACGTGCGGCGTGCGCGTCCTGTGCATCTGTACACGTTCCGTGCGTAGCGTGGTCGCATCGCGTTGCCTGCGTGTGCCACATACACGTTTCGGGCGCGCCCGTGCTGCGTCTTGGCACCGCACGCCTATCGCCGTTGCGTCGTGCGTGTTCCTGCGCACCGACTACACGTGCGTCGCGGAGTCGCTGCCGTCCGCATCGTACATGTTAGCCGTCGCCGAGTGCCGTGGCGGGCTCTTTGTCCTGGTGCCAACCTCATCATGTGGCGGTCGTGGCGTGGCCGTTGGCGTGGTGCACGTACAGTGTTACGTGCCTCTAGGCTGCATCGGGCACCATCACCGCTGCGTTTCGCGTGCCGTTCGTGCAACCGGTTTACACCTGTCGGCAGTTGCCGTGCTG